ATTGTGTTTTTACTGTATAGGAGCGACATAACAAAATGATGCACATAATGAATATTCCAACAATGTCGGTGATGCCCGTACGTGTGTATTATATGTTTCGTCATCATCGAGATTTTGATTGTCTTTCTCATGCAAATGAATTTAAATGAGGAGGAAAGGATGCAACAGACTCTCGTACTCCCTTTGTTCTTCGCAAAAGCTGATGGATTATTGTTCGCTCGCCCATCAATGTTCTGGAAATATCGGTATAAAACTGCTGATATTGCAGCATGAAAGGCTGTGCTTTACAATAAAACTGTATTTTAGCCCATTCATGTGCCCAAAATCATGAAAATCGCAACAAAATCCGAAATTGACATTCAATACTTTGTACAACGGAATACAACCATAACATTGTACATGGACCTTCAATGGGACCTTGGTTTCCTGAAAAATTCATTGCAGCTTATCCATAAAAATGAGCTAAAAAAATTAAATTACGTTTTTCCCTCGCAAGCTTTTTGAATAAATTAGGTTGAATGCATGTATTTGTAAAACATGGCGCAAAACATAATTTCCCAGCGATTCGTTCGAAATGAAATTGGAAGGACCTGCAATTTAAATTAAATATTCCATCTTCAAACAGTTTGTAATTATACTTTGAAACATGCAGGTTCAAGCCACGGTTCGAAAGACGCCCCGCTAACCAGCATTGACATTTATCACGAATGCATTAATTTCCAATACTTTGAGTGATTTTGATGTCCAAGCAGTGTACAAGCTTACTTTAAATGTTATCAATAAAAAAATTAATGTAAACCCAATTTTTTTTATTATTGAACAAGCAATCTCTCATACATGAGCTGTCCACCGATTTATTGTATCTGTGTGCGGTGTTTCAAACGGTGTAAAACTAAATGACACGGTGGTAGGTGGTCACTGACTTATTGGTTAAAGCTTAGCAATAATTAAGAGCTTGACTTTTTTCCGTACCACATGCCTCGGACACCGGATAAGTTTTTCCCGTAATTTTTACAAAATACTTCCGTTAACTTTTCAAACTTCGTTTTACCAACCCTGTACAGGTGAAAACCTGAGAGAAGTTGCTAAACAGCATCGGAACAAAAAATAATGAAAGGAAAAAAAGTTGTGAACTGGAAAAACGAAGACGACAAAGAAAAATCAACACGTGTTGCTTGTACAAATTTCACTGAAATTTTCATAAATTTGAATTTTATGACCTACATAGCTACCAAATATTTTAGTAAGACTCGTGAAATAAACGCAAGTACACCGTAAACCGCATATTGAAGGAAAAAAAAAAAAAAATTAAAAAATCAAAATTTGTGCGTAACATTAACTAATGTATTAATTTGTACACAGGCATCCCTGTCCTAATCACACACAACCACTTGAGAGCGGTGATGTAGCGAGTTTCAAAAGCGCGAGGACGAGAGAGACTTGCAGGTCCCAGCAAAAAGCTTGGAGTGCAGTCATCTAATCTCGAGTACGAAAAAAGTTGATGAGAGCTGGGTTGTGGAAAAAAAGATTGGATGAGAAACTGTAGGGTATTGATTGGCAACATCACCGCCACTGCTGGTGCTCCTCCTTCTCCTATCTCTCATCCCTGCCGTCGCTACAGAAGCACACGTGTGCCGAAAGTTTGTCCTTAAACTTTGGCGTGCCTCGAAATTCCAACAGCTTGAACAGGAAAATTAGGACGGGAACTTCCACTCCCCCCCCTTCTATCTATAGCGAGGCGACAGTTGCTTTTTGTTTGCGTCACGTTGCTACTCTACGTTTTTTTTTTTTTTTTTTTTTTTTTTTTTTTTTTTTTTTTTTTTTTTTTTTTTTTTTT